GGGGGGGGGGGGGGGGGGGGGGGGGGGGGCATGGAAGCCTCCCCAAATCCTTGTCCAATGTTATAATATTATTGAATTTGCTAGTGTTACACTTGACCCAAAGGTCTTTTTTTTATTTTTTATAATAAGAGGTGATTTCGAAAATCAATCAACTGACAAATTCGCAATGCAGGTGACTCCTCCACATCCTCCCTCTCGCCCAAATCGTTTCATAAAACCACTTAACAATTCAATATTTTCTAATCCATTGCTAATGTGGATGACTTCTGTAGGATAGGCAAGACCCCTAGGAGTATTAGCTGGTTTTTCCCCACATTCAATACTGTTCGAATCTCTCTAGGTTGAGAAACTAGGTTGAACAATTAATCTTTAGTTTAAAAAAAAAAAAAAAAACCTCAAACAAATGATCAAGAGTTTCTTTTCATTTTTGGTTAGGTAAATTATTAACATTGATAAAAAAAATATTTACAATATAGTTCACAAAAAACATGTCAAAATGTGTTTCTCTTGTTATGTATGTTTCGACAATAAAACAACGTCTTGCAACTCTGTTCTCTCTAAGGAAGGGTCTCTCTCCTGCATCTTCGTCTGGGACCTCTAGAGTTTAGCCAAAACCCCATAAACCATGTCTGAAGCTTCACTTTCTTCCCTAGGTTCAAATCTCCTCACAAAATCTCACTTCCTCAACAACTATGACTAACTTCAATCACCTCGCATATTGACATGGAACGGAAATAAGAAAACCATAAAACCCAACTACTAGGGACGGAGCCAGAATTTTAGTAATGGAGGTGCCAAATCTTGGGTACAAAATTTTTTATAACATGAATTATATTTATTTTTATATCACACAAAAATATATGCAATACAAACAAAGATATTGTCACAAAGAAGATGAATAAAATGAATAATTTTTTAATATGTATAGTTTGTCCTCTATCAAAGTGTTAGTCGACGTTATTCTCTATCATAGAATTCTTTTATGATCAAATATAAAAATCATGAGTTTTTTGGGTGTAAGTACACTTTTTTAGACTTATTTGGGATGAAGTGTTTGGATAAGAGTATTTTACTCTATTAAGTTCAATTTTAATAAAATATCTTGTAATTAGATAAAAAATTCAAATGACATTTAAATTTTTTTACTTGTTTACCCTTCCTTAAATTATACATAATTCTTATTCTTTCACTCTCTTTCTCCTCATATTTCTCTCGCCATTACTCTCTCTATCTCTCCCTATTTTTTTCTCTCTTTCCCATTGATAATTTAATTTATTTTATTTTTAAAAATATAAAAATTTGATTTAATTTTTTCATCTCTCTCTTATTTCTCTCTCTTTCCTCTTATTTTCTCTCAACGTTACTCTCTTTCCTTATTCTCCCTCTCTCTCTTTATATAAAATGTTATAACACCAATAAGTTTTAATTGCTTTATAGTACACCAAAGGGTTATACATGTGTCCTATAAACCAAACAGTTACACCAAATAATTAAACAAAATTATAACACCAACTCAATTTGTCATTCAGTTGTTTACGTAAATCAAAGAGTTACATTGTTTAGTATCATGACATGATTATACTAATTATATACATTAAATTTAGTGTAATGGTAAACTCTTTATGTAATGATAAACCCAATTTGGTGTATATAATTGGTGTAATCATGTCGTGATATTAAATCATGTAATTATTTGGTTTATCTAAATAATTAAATGACAAATTGAGTTAGTATTGTAATTTCGTGTAATTGTTTGGTATAACTATTTATCTTATTAGAACACATGAATAACTGTTTAATATATTATAGGATCATTATAATTGATTAATGTAAATGATTGATTTAATTGTGTTATTTGTAACATTGATATAAAGAGACAGATAGAGAGAATGAGGAGATAAAGAGTAACTATGAGAGAAAATAAGGGGAGAAAGTGAGAGAGTGAGAAAAAATAGTGAAGAAAGTGAGAGAGTGTGAAAAAATAAGGGGAAAAAGATGAAAAAATTAAATTAAAACTTTACATATTTGAAAATAAAATAAATTATCAACGAGAGAGAAAGATGTATAGAAAAAAAATATGGAAGAAAGAGTGAGAGAGTATTGGAGAGGGAGAGGGAGAGAGAGAGTAATGGAGTAGGATGGGGCTATTCCCTCCCTTACAAATCTCTATTTCCACCTCATTTAATTTTTTATTATCAAATTATTAAGTTCACTTTTTTTTATACATACCCCATTAGCAATTAAGCTCACCCCATACTACATACACCCCCTTTAATAAGTAAAATCACTTTATATTTTGTCGTAATTACTAACTAAAATTTTATTCTCTATCTCATCTCATACACTTATAAAAACATTTTTTCAATACGAATTTTTTCAATGAGATACAAGTTAATATTACTTTCAATTTAATTATATGTTTGTTATATGGATTTTCATTATTTTTTGTATATTTTGATATCTCTATCAAGTTCAATAATTTTTTATTTAAAATTTATATGTGTGTATATATATGTATGATTTTTTATTATTTGTTCTTTTTTATCTTATTAAGATTTTGCATCTATACTTGTTTTTTTTTTGTTCAATTTTGTCTATGTGCTTGATGCTTGTTTTTTTTTTTTTCATATTCGATTTTGCGTCTTATAGTTTTGTTTGTTTTTGTAATCTTTACTTGAATTTTTTTCCTTATTGTTGCAGTTAACTTATTTCTTTATGTTTTTTCCTTATTTCGTTCTTTTTTTTTCTTTTTTCTGGTTTCGATTTGCTTCTTTTTTTTCCTTGATTCAGCATGCTTGTTTTTTTTACTTGTTTCATTTTTGGTTGTTTTTTTATTATTTCAGTTTTGCTTGGTTTTTTTTTTCTCATTCAAACTAATTGTCTTCTTTCATTATTTTTTTCTTACAACGATTTTTTTATTAAAGGGGTGTATATAGAATGAGTGAGTTTAACTATTAATGGGATATATATAACATGGGTTATACTTAGGGTGTATTTGTTAACCTAAATTCAGCAATTAAAATGAATATATTTGACACTTATTAATTAAGTTCGTTTGATAACTAAAATTTTAACTTTCTGAATATGTTAAATGTTCCTTTAAAATAGCCTACAATATTAAGTATGAAATCTTTTACTTAATTCTGAAAGCTGAAAGCGCTCAGTAAAACCATATTTAACAATATTTATAATATGACAATTATACCCCGAAATATTTTACAATTCTATTAAAACTATAATTAGTGTTATCTCCAAAACTCATAACCTATCTATCCTCCTTATCAATCTTTTTCTTTAGATAATAAGTGTTTTTCTTCTTCTTATTTTTTTTCCTTTCCTCGTCTGCTGCAAATAAACATGTTGAAACACACACCCATATTCACTGCACACACACACCCACACATGCACACACAGACATGCACTATATACAGACCCACCAAAACTACCCACACACACAAGCACAAATTGAACACACACACACACATATTATTAATGAGATTTAATTTATGCTATTTTTTTAATTCGATTATTTATTCATTTTTTTTATTTATTGTTATCCAATTATTTATTAGTTATTATTTTTTTATCAGATGTTATTGTTCATTTATTATGTAATTTAATTTGTTATTATTCACTTATTGTGATTTGATTATTTATTTGTGGTTATTCATTTTTTTTTGATCAGATGTCATTATTCAGTTATTGTGTTATTCAATTTATTATTGATTTGATATATTGTCATTTTTTATTAGATAAAACATATTTTATAAATATTTTTAAATTAAAGAGTGGAAGGGTAAAAATGAAAATTAATTTATTTTCAAACGTCAATTCTGTGTAGTTGTCAAACTGTTTAGTTTAATTAAATACTTAAATTTTAGTGGATATCAAACATTTCACAAATTTAGACTTCAATTTTCAATTTTCAGACTTTAACTTTCAGTTTTATCAACCACCACCTTAGTGACTAATGAGGTGGATATTGAAGATGTGAGTAGTTTGATAGTGAAAAATTAAATAGAGTAAGAATGTAGATTTGTGGAGTGGGAGTAATCTCGGAGTAATGAATGACCTTTTAGTCTTTTTTCTTAAAAAATGTACTTATATGGTCAAATAAGTTTCTTTAATATAGTTTAATTCAATTAAGTTAAAATTTTTGTACCGATTTCTAAATTTTTTAAAAATCCTTGAGCAACTTCTTTGAGGCTCATAAGTATGGTTTGGGGTCCATATTGAGGCCCCTCACATTTAGGGCCCTAACCGAGCCTAAAAATGGCTATGCTTTTGGGCCGGCCCACCTTCNTACCGATTTCTAAATTTTTTAAAAATCCTTGAGCAACTTCTTTGAGGCTCATAAGTATGGTTTGGGGTCCATATTGAGGCCCCTCACATTTAGGGCCCTAACCGAGCCTAAAAATGGCTATGCTTTTGGGCCGTTATAAAACACTGCCCGCCGTTCTCTGTTTGAACATCGTCTCGGGGTTCGGGTTAGGGTTTAGTCAAAAACTCTAAATTCATAAACCCTCACCCAAAACTTCCCTTTCTTCCATTGTAACCTCACCTCCAAAATCTCAGTCCTTCAACAGCAATGGCGACGTCAATCGCCTCGCAATTGCAGGCAATCAAATCACTGATTAAAGCCGATTCGGAGCCACTCAGGCGACCCTTCACTCGTCCTTCTATCCTATTCGACCCCAGAGAAGCCGCCGATATCGACCTCGACACCATCCTCAACATCGCGCTCTCAGGTAGCCTGAATTTTATATAAACGACCTGAAACAAACCAAAGGTACCAGCTAAAAAGAATGAAGAATCTAAAGATTGGGGATCAGACAGTGTTTGCTTTAGCTGCAACTATGAAAGAAATATAAAATTAATTATGCATTCTTGGTACTGTTTTTATTCTGATTTCAGTAGAGAAGACTTGGAAATTAAATAGAACGAAGTCCTTTACTCTGTTTTTTAAGATTCACCTCAAATACACCATTCAAATAAATGGNAGAAGACTTGGAAATTAAATAGAACGAAGTCCTTTACTCTGTTTTTTAAGATTCACGTCAGATACACCATTCAAATAAATAGNGGTACTGTTTTTATTCTGATTTCAGTAGAGAAGACTTGGAAATTAAATAGAACGAAGTCCTTTACTCTGTTTTTTAAGATTCACGTCAAATACACCATTCAAATAAATAGGTTGGCTGACAGAATGAATCTTTAAAATCCTTATTCGGGTGTGAATGTGAATTAATTTCTGATTTACTGGTCTTTTTATTCAGTTAATGGATTTGTTTTGGTTGTCTGGTTTGGTTTTTCAGGTTTGGAGGTGCTTATAAACACGGATGAAAGATTTAGGAACTATAAGAATGATTTGTTTAGTCACAAGAGTAAAGAATTGGATAGAGAATTATCGGGCGTAGAGGATAATAACCGAATTAATGCTTCTATTAGTACATACTTGCGGTTACTATCAGGCCATTTTCAATTGCCTTCGGCATTAAAGACGCTTGAGTACTTGATACGTAGATACAAGTAAGCCCTTATCTTTACCATTTGTTGGCTAGTTGTTCATGTAACATCCATGTGTTACCATGTGTGTGTATATGTGAATTTCTGTTCTTAGGTACTTAATCAACTTTGGTGCTTGGAAGTTTTATGCGGTCTGATTATTTATTGGTGTGGAATTGTAGGATTCATGTGTACAACACGGAGGAACTTATTCTATGTGCTTTGCCATATCATGACACTCATGTTTTTGTTCGAGTAGTTCAGTTAATTGACACAGGGTAAGGAAATTGGTGTCTCTTGTTATTTATTTGTGGCGATTGAATAGTCTGTTGTGCCTTCAATGATGTCCTACTCTTTTGTGGTGTAGAAATAGTAGATGGAAGTTTTTTGATGCAGTTAAAGCTTCAGGTGCACCGCCACCAAGAAAGGTTATTGTGCAACAATGCATCCGTGATATGGGGGTGTTGGAGGTTTTATGCAATTATGTACGTCTTATTTCGCATCTGACTTGTCCAATTTTTTTTCACTGATTGCTTGTGTAAGACAAGTTTTACTTTTCTAAATTTGTTAGGCCTCACCTACAAAGAAGTTGCAGATGCCGAGGCCTGTTATTAGCTTCTGCACAGCAGTTGTTGTTGAGGTTTTGGGTTCTCTCACAGTTGTTGACAATGATGTGGTGAAGAGAGTTTTGCCGTACGTGGTTTCTGGACTTCAGCCTGGTTCCAAAGGAGGAGAGGATCACAAGGTCAGTACAAATTTATTGGCATAATTAACGTGATCTCTTCTCTCTCTCAAACCATGCCTTAATGGCTTCTTGGCAACATGGTTGGTCTTTTTCCATTTGTCGATGGTGATTCCACATTAAAAATTAAAAAAAGAGAGTTACTTGGCTGTTTCTTGAATGGGGAGAGGTAATCTGTTGCTTCAAGCCTTGAATACATGGGAAATGGTTATGTCTTAGCTGATAAATTGCACTCAGCTAGCATGTTTTATGAAAAATCTAGATGATTGTCACTGTTGTTTCTTATTCTTTTAATTCTTGTTCCTTTTTTCCAAAAAATTGTGCTGGGAGAGTGGGAGAAGGAGGAGTAGTTGGGACACAAAACTTGTTCAAAAACGATACCATCAAATCCATATGTAATGAGCCATGGTTGGTATATTAATCTAAACCTTAATGGGAGTCTGTTATATCAATTGAAATAATGCTTAGAATATGGGAAATACTTTTGACAAAAAGACGGATCACTTGATGTTGGATATTTGCTCCTCACGTAGCATGAAAATTAGGTCTACACTTTCCACTTCATAATGAATATCTTCTCTTGTAGAGGTTTCTTCTCTGTAGAGCATTTTTACTTGTTTTTGCTGCAAGCATTTTTTCACCTTTTTACACTTGACTTTTTTTGGGCAATTTGGTGCCATTGGACGACCTTCAGTTCAAATATACCATTTACAACATTTTTTCTTTGAATTCTTCTGTTTTTCCGGCTTTCTTTTTTGGTTTTAGAAAAGTTTTTCTTGTCTTCCAAGTTTCCTTTTAAACCTATTCTTTTTGTGTCTTTTGTTTGGGTGGATCAAATCCTGTTTTCCAATTCCATTTTTTTTACCCATGTATTTTTACATTAAGTGAAACACAGTGACCGAGAATTATTTATAGAATAAAGCTTATTCTGAAATCGAAGTATTTTGTTTTTTCTATCTTCCTTACAACTAGATACTTTTCGAAACATAATTCATCCCATATTTTTAGTAAGTCAATGAATTACCTAGGGGGATCGTTCTAAAATGCTTAATTCATTATCTTACTCAACTCAACTCCTACAAGCCTAATTTCACCTAGTTGATTGCTCATTTACTCTTGACTCAGTATGCGTTCACTAGTAGATATGTTATCATTCGGTGAGCATAAAATCACCACGAAGCAATCCTAGATTTTTTTTTTTTTGACTTGGATGGAGTTTACAACCTGAGTTGCGTTGCATTCCCGAGAAAACTGACACCACAGCGTCGGTTTGTGGTGCGACATGGTTTTCCCCTTCAGGGCATTTGGGTCCTGTTCGTTTTTGAGGACACATCTCCCGACTACATTTCAGATGCGTAGTAGGCTGTCCAACTTGTTCACGGATCAGAAGACACTCAAAGTCCACAACCTAGATAAACCTGTAATCTTAATATGTAAGCATCATTTGCATTCTTACTGTAAAATTATTTGGAAAAAGCATATAATTTTCCAATACATGGAAAAAGGCTGGTAGATAGGTGGATAATGATTTGAAGCTTTCACTTCTGAGTTCTGGTGGTGCACTACACTCAAGTACTAAAGCCCAAAGAATAATATCCACTGGTTGCTTGAAATTAGCAGTTGATGAGGCTTCAATATATCTTTAGGGTGGAAGTGTCGCAACTAATTAATAGAAGCCAAAGGTGTGACCCTTGTTCATTGTTGATTGTTTTTTCTTTTCCTTCTTTTGTTCTTTTGTCCCAACTTCATAGATGGTTTAGGTGACCCAATGAGGCACTACCAGGTCTTAACTTGATTGCTACATTTCCTCACCCAAAGGAAAAGGTGTAGGTTTCAAAGTTTTACTTGGGTGAAGTTGGGTGTGTATTGCTCATTAATAAGTGAAGAAAAAGTTGACCGAAAAAGAAAAATATAAGACCAAAGAGAAAAGCATTGGAGCTGCTTTGTTCTTTGTAAAATTCTACTCATGACAGCTTGCCTACTTGATCTTTCTTTTGCTAACAAAGTCTATCTTTTGTAAGTTTCTAAGTTGAGAGCATGATTGGATGTTTTCTTCTGCCTTCTCATTCAAGGTGGTAGCTTCAGTTTGTAGTACCTTTATAATTGCTTACTGATCGGTCTGTTGTTGTTCTTTATATAGGCTGGCGCTATGATGATTGTGGGCTTACTTGCTAATAGGGTAACGTTGTCCCCCAATCTTGTCAAAAGTTTGATTCGCTCAATCGCTAATGTAGCTCGAGAGGATGCGATAGAATCAATTGACTTGCAATGGTTGCATATGTCGTTTATGGCTTTGATCAACCTTGTTCAGGTATTTTCATGTGTTTTAAGTTACAGTTGTAGCATATAGTGATTAATAGGAAGAAATAAAAGAGTTGTATTTTACAGCGGCGGAGCCAAAAAAATACTATAGAGTGGGCACATTAATAAGTTTTTTTTAGCAATGCTATATGAACTTAATCAGGACCTAATTCAATGTAGTCATTGTTTTAGTTGTAAGTTTCAATGTTAGATGAAGTCTAATTTCAATCAAATGATTGCATTAAATTATGTCCACAAATTAAGCCTAAATAACATTTTTCATGTTTTTTCAATTGACCACAGGAATTCATAAATTCATATTTACTATAATTATACATAAAATTTCATTAAACATAAAAGGTTAAAAAATGATTTTCATGGCATGAACAAATAAAAAATAAAAATAAATAANGAATTCATAAATTCATATTTACTATAATTATACATAAAATTTCATTAAACATAAAAAGGTTAAAAAATGATTTTCATGGCATGAACAAATAAAAAATAAAAATAAATTAATTAAATTTCGTATGAGACTAATTATTGTCATTTTACGATTGAATCTGATTAGTGTTTAACATTTAAGGGCGTTACAAATAAATGATATCAATGAATACTTTTTTTTCTATATACTAAATGGTAATAATAATCCTTCATTTATTACCTAGATGCTCATTTCTATACAATAACAAAATAATCCTATAATTTAGAAAAATGACCGTGATAAGTTTAAGAATAATAGTAATTGCACCTAATTCGGGATTTAATTGATAGGGATCCAATGACTTATGACCATTAGATGGATAGTGGACATTATTAAATGTGGAGTCTCACTACTAATGTTNGAAAAATGACCGTGATAAGTTTAAGAATAATAGTAATTGCACCTAATTCGGGATTTCATTGATAGGGATCCAATGACTTATGACCATTAGATGGATAGTGGACATTATTAAATGTGGAGTCTCACTACTAATGTTTAATATCATAATGTATTAGGTCCCAATAACATTATTTGAAAATTAATAATTATTTAGATATGGGTTTATCTTAATCGATATCACAATAATAAAGTGGGCACAATTAAATATGTCTAAATTTTATTTAAAAAAAATAAATATCTAATGTCAAAAAAAAATTTTTTTTGGGTCCAAAGTTGGCTTCGCCCCAGTGTATATAGCAACTGATTACTCTCTTTTGTATCTCGAGGATACNAATTAATAATTATTTAGATATGGGTTTATCTTAATCGATATCACAATAATAAAGTGGGCACAATTAAATATGTCTAAATTTTATTTAAAAAAAATAAATATCTAATGTCAAAAAAAAATTTTTTTTGGGTCCAAAGGTGGCTTTGCCCCAGTGTATATAGCAACTGATTACTCTCTTTTGTATCTCGAGGATTCTGTCATCATTTTTTGACTTTTTTCTTTCATCATGTTATTTCATAGATTTTGCTTCGATACTCCTGTCTCAAAAATCCCTGGACTGTTTGATCATTTTCTTGGAACTAAAACATCAATTTCTTGGAAGCAGCAGCAGCCATAGGTGGATTTGAAAATTTAATTACTACTTAGGTGATAGTTGTTAAAGTTATACCACTTTACTCATTTTCAGTGAACTGAATGTTCAATCATATGCTTTTCTGTGCATTTTTNTTCATCATGTTATTTCATAGATTTTGCTTCGATACTCCTGTCTCAAAAATCCCTGGACTGTTTGATCATTTTCTTGGAACTAAAACATCAATTTCTTGGAAGCAGCAGCAGCCATAGGTGGATTTGAAAATTTAATTACTACTTAGGTGATAGTTGTTAAAGTTATACCACTTTACCCATTTTCAGTGAACTGAATGTTCAATCATATGCTTTTCTGTGCATTTTTAGGGCTGCAAATTAGTCAAATCAACCAATTATGTCATTAGCAGCTCCTTCTCCATTTCCCATCCATGCTTTAACCAGCAGTTTTGGAGTGCTGTTCAGTTAGCACTGGATATTTTACAGGGTCAGTTCAAGTTGGACTGAGCTTTGCTTGACCTGCTCAATTTTTCTTGCAAATTCGGCAAGATAGTGCCCGTCTGGGATACCTATTGTTGTCGAGTGTGATGAGACATTATGAGGGTTGTAATGCTTGGGTTTAGACAGAGATCTGGATTCTGGATAAATGTTAAGTTCTAACAGATCTGGTTTGGCTTTAGATTTACACTGTTAAATGAGTAACATCAAGTTTCATGGATACGCGAAGGACACTGATAGGTTGTTGCTTAGAGGTGGAAATGACCCAGGCACAGCCAACTATTGTTCTATTTTTATCTTAAAATTGTCATAGTTTAGTACTCTCCATCCGACATAGAGATTTTCCGTGTTTCATTTTGATATCGTCTGAAATTAGAGCTTGAATCACTTTCGATCGAAGGTATCTGCCACATGGGCTGATCAACCTGGATCAATGAAGTGGAAGTCCTTATGATCTAGACAAAATTTTAGTTGGATGGTGTGGAGCAATATTATTTATAAGAGCCCAAATGAGTCCATGCACACAAACCCAACTTAGTCAATGTTGCGCCTAGTAAGTCTGGACTTATTTGCTGGCTGAGCCTAGTAGTGCATTAGTCTTTTAAGTTCCAATTATTATATATAGGAACAATTCCTCTCATGATCTTTGCACCCTCACCTTGTCTTGGATTTAATTTTGTTAGTTGCAATCTGTCGAAATGTTCCCCAAGAAGACTGTGGATATCCTGAAGGAGATCAGGTATCACTAATGACCTTAAATCTCAGCAGAGACTTGGAGCTTGTTTGGTGGTATTTTGTTTTCTTTTTCCTTGTAAGTATCTACTAAACAGGATTCTTTTATTTCAATGTTTGGAATTTGAAGAGATCTCTCAGGGGTTCTTGCTAGACTGACGGAGGAGTTCAATATAGATAAATTCCTGGCTGTGTTTCTGGAATCCCTTCTTGAATACAGGTTCAAACTGTTGTTTCCTTCTTCTAGTATTTTCTTCTATACACTGAACTCTCAATCTAATTATTGTTTTGCAGTTCATCTGATGATCTCTGCCATCTTGCTTTATTATCAATAATTGAGGCAGTTCCTGTGAAAGGTTTTGTTGATCGTATGGTCTCTAAACTCCTCTATACTTGCGTGAGGTTATCCAAGAACAAGAGTGACTCGTCATTCGAAAACAAGGAATCAGGTTGGACATTTACTTCTCAGATTTTCGAACAGTTTAGCGTGGTGATGAAATCCTTTCATGCTGTTGTTATCCTAGGATTTTATTTCTTTTTTGCTTTGTGTGATTTTTTAGTTTTTTTAGGAAACCGGACCAAGCAAATTTTAGTCTCCATAAATAAGAATTACCCATCAGAATTACGTGCAGTTGTTCACAATTTCCCACAGGTTTGCTGCCTAATTACTTGCTCTCCTGTTCTCCTTGCTTCAAACTCTTTTCGCCTTATCTTGCTAATTCTATTTTAGTGCTATATTCTCTATCCTTTTCTTCTCTACCCTTGTAGGACGGTAAAGAGCCATCAAAGAAAGAGGGTTCGATGTATGAAATGCTGTGTAGGATATTAGATGGGAATTTGGATTTATCCTCCAAAATATCTGATTCAAAAATTTGGTTTGCACTAGAACATCCAAAGGTATCATTTGTTCATTCACTAAAGAGTATTTATGAAGAACACACTCTCAGAAATTGTTCTTTTCTTAGCCTATTTTATATTCTTGTTGCATAAACTTTAGTGTGTACCTCTTTCACCTATAGTTCATAATCGATTAAGTTTTGTTGAATTTTTCTTATAATCTTAATTTATGGCATAGGCTGAGGTTCGACGTTCTACTCTTGAAGGTTTGGATGCAGTTGGCATTCTGAAAGGAAAGGCTGTTGATTCAAAGGTGATATTTCTTATTCGGCCGTGTAATTGTACNCTTAATTTATGGCATAGGCTGAGGTTCGACGTTCTACTCTTGAAGGTTTGGATGCAATTGGCATTCTGAAAGGAAAGGCTGTTGATTCAAAGGTGATATTTCTTATTCGGCTGTGTAATTGTTCCTCTTATATAGCAATTTAAAAGGTCAATGTTCTTTCTACTGGTTTCTTCATTGTACTTGTGTGTTTATTCTTTTCCCGATATTTTTGTAATGACATGCTTTCTTCGTGTTTTTTTTTGTGTTTAATATTTATGTCTGATTGAATCTTGTGGTTTGATGTGGTTGTTCGATGGTTGTTAACTTAAATATATGTCTGATGGTGCTTTTTGGCAAAATTGTTGTTTTGTAGCTGTTTTTAACTTCATCTACATGAGGATTTTCTTTCTGAATGGAGACTAATAACATAATTTATTATCCACTCTGATTTGGTCGCAAATGTGCCCATGGTTTGCTGTTGTTGAACTAGTTGGTTGATTACCTGTTAATATCTATCTTTGCTGTCTCAGTTTTGCATCATTTGTAAAAAAAATGAGGAGAATCTACATCATCTCTTTCTTCACTGCCGTTTTGCTTGCTCTTTATGGAGTAGATTGTTTGCTTTGGTAGAGAAGTGTTGGATTGTACAATTAGTAGAGCAATGTTTGAAAGTGACTTTTAGGCATTTAAAGGAGTAAAAATCTAAATCCTTGTGGAGATGTGTGACGATGGCTACTTTTTGGGGTATGTGGCTTGACAGAAATGCAAGCATTTTTGAAGAGCGTCATTTTGGGTTTCTGCATGCCCTCACTTTTCGGAAGTTCTTTTGTCCTTGATTAGGGCAGTTTGGATATACATTTGTGGATTGTAGTTTTCTGTTTTGTAACTTATGACCATTTTGCTTTGTATATTTGAAGGACATCTCATCCATCATGTAAGTTTTTTCATTCTCAATGAAAATATTTTGTTGATTATCAAAAAAATTTATTTTTTAGCAGTGTTGTGCTCAATTCTAATTGTTTGAGCAAGATTCTGTATCTGTGGTCAGCCGCAGAAATTTTTCTGCAACTCAGTTCAACATTGACATTTTAGAGCATCGCCAATCTTGACTCAATTTTTTGCTCAAATTTGAGCCAATATTTGTGTAAAAAACTTAATTTGATATAAAGCACTCCAGGGAGAAATTCGAAGTTAAAAGAGGAACAAACTAAAATTTAAAGGAGGATAAAATATGATCCTTGGTGATTGAGTAAAAGTTTGAGTCTTTCATTATTTGAGTAAAAATTTGAGTCTCCCTTGATTTAGTATGAGTTTGGGTATAACATTGGTGAAGATTTTTTGGGATTTTTTACCCAATTTAAATTTGGGTTTAAAAAAGAGTAAGGGCTGGAGATGTTCTTATACATTAAATTATCAGCCTCCTTGTCTTTTTCTATTGTCTTAACCCACATTCCTTTTTGCTTAATCTCTTGTTCTTAGACGCTGGTCTTCAAATGGATCAGTCATCCTTGTGGGGCAATTAACGATCTTTATCGCACTACAACTTGATGTTAAGATCACTCAATTCTCAGTTCCCTGTCTGCCAATCAGTTGTGGCTGGTCATGCTCAATTTCCATGGATTATTACGAGCACACTCTCATACATAGGAGTACCCCTGGTTTCCATTTGGGTGAAGTTTGGTGGAAATCGGAAAATGTATTTGATTGATTTGTGCCTTCATTTGGCGGCTGTCTTCCACCATTTGTGTTGTTGATTGATGTCTACTGATTGCTGATAAATAGTTACTGATTATTACTGACCATTATACTTGTATTTCTCATTGTCCATGTTTTGTGCCAACCATAAATGCTACTCATCCTATTTGTGTAACTTTTGAGGCTGCTCTTACATATTTTGTCCAGTATCAGTCCCCCAATCTATCAAGTGCTCTTAGCAACGAGGCAGCAAAGCTTTTGTGTTGCATAACCTGGCACCTGTGCAATGATCTTCTACACTGTTTTGTGCATAGGCCAAAAAAAAGTTGCTTAGATTGGTTTCTGTAATGCTATTCTTGGTTTTAATTTTTGTGCTGCCAAGTATTTCAGCTTGATTCTGATATCTGGATCCTAATTTTGAGCTCCAAAATCAACCCAAATGTAATTATGGATAATTTTACTTACTTAATTTCTAATATAGTCTCCCTCTCCCTCCTCTCCAGAGACTTATTACCATTCAAGATGCACTATTGCACCGGCTTCGCGATGATTACCTAAGTGTGGTGCAGGCAGCTCTCAATGTAGACAGATTGTCGGAAATCATAAGTTCCCCTCTTCTTTTGGATGCACTTCAGGATGTGCTTCATAGATGTATTGGCATTTTAATGTCAAGTGAGTATGCTTTAATTTGAGTTCCTGAGCCAGTCCCCTTCATTCCTCTCTACTGCATTATCCTTACTTCTGTTGGATATGATAGTAGATTGTTTTGGATCTTTTATCTTAGTCAGAGGCTCAGAGCTACTTGGGATATGTGGCACTTGCTTTCAGCATCATGGTTTCTTGTTGTTTGTAATTTCTGCTCTTCATGGTTTCTTGTTGTTTGTAACTTCTGCTCTTCATGGTTAAAAGCATACGAATTAGGTTAGTCGATGTTTTNTTGTGTAAAAAACTTAATTTGATATAAAGCACTCCAGGGAGAAATTCGAAGTTAAAAGAGGAACAAACTAAAATTTAAAGGAGGATAAAATATGATCCTTGGTGATTGAGTAAAAGTTTGAGTCTTTCATTATTTGAGTAAAAATTTGAGTCTCCCTTGATTTAGTATGAGTTTGGGTATAACATTGGTGAAGATTTTTTGGGATTTTTTACCCAATTTAAATTTGGGTTTAAAAAAGAGTAAGGGCTGGAGATGTTCTTATACATTAAATTATCAGCCTCCTTGTCTTTTTCTATTGTCTTAACCCACATTCCTTTTTGCTTAATCTCTTGTTCTTAGACGCTGGTCTTCAAATGGATCAGTCATCCTTGTGGGGCAATTAACGATCTTTATCGCACTACAACTTGATGTTAAGATCACTCAATTCTCAGTTCCCTGTCTGCCAATCAGTTGTGGCTGGTCATGCTCAATTTCCATGGATTATTACGAGCACACTCTCATACATAGGAGTACCCCTGGTTTCCATTTGGGTGAAGTTTGGTGGAAATCGGAAAATGTATTTGATTGATTTGTGCCTTCATTTGGCGGCTGTCTTCCACCATTTGTGTTGTTGATTGATGTCTACTGATTGCTGATAAATAGTTACTGATTATTACTGACCATTATACTTGTATTTCTCATTGTCCATGTTTTGTGCCAACCATAAATGCTACTCATCCTATTTGTGTAACTTTTGAGGCTGCTCTTACATATTTTGTCCAGTATCAGTCCCCCAATCTATCAAGTGCTCTTAGCAACGAGGCAGCAAAGCTTTTGTGTTTCATAACCTGGCACCTGTGCAATGATCTTCTACACTGTTTTGTACATAGGCCAAAAAAAAGTTGCTTAGATTGGTTTCTGTAATGCTATTCTTGGTTGTAATTTTTGTGCTGCCAAGTATTTCAGCTTGATTCTGATATCTGGATCCTAATTTTGAGCTCCAAAATCAACCCAAATGTAATTATGNTAATTTTTGTGCTGCCAAGTATTTCAGCTTGATTCTGATATCTGGATCCTAATTTTGAGCTCCAAAATCAACCCAAATGTAATTATGGATAATTTTACTTACTTAATTTCTAATATAGTCTCCCTCTCCCTCCTCTCCAGAGACTTATTACCATTCAAGATGCACTATTGCACCGGCTTCGCGATGATTACCTAAGTGTGGTGCAGGCAGCTCTCAATGTAGACAGATTGTCGGAAATCATAAGTTCCCCTCTTCTTTTGGATGCACTTCAGGATGTGCTTCATAGATGTATTGGCATTTTAATGTCAAGTGAGTATGCTTTAATTTGAGTTCCTGAGCCAGTCCCCTTCATTCCTCTCTACTGCATTATCCTTACTTCTGTTGGATATGATAGTAGATTGTTTTGGATCTTTTATCTTAGTCAGAGGCTCAGAGCTACTTGGGATATGTGGCACTTGCTTTCAGCATCATGGTTTCTTGTTGTTTGTAATTTCTGCTCTTCATGGTTTCTTGTTGTTTGTAACTTCTGCTCTTCATGGTTAAAAGCATACGAATTAGGTTAGTCGATGTTTTTGGTTCTTTATGTATTAAGTCCAGAAATTAAAGTGCACACAATTATGCTGGACGTTAACACCCATGTGACAGTGTGACTGTGGTCTGACCTAGTGTTGATTTCCTGAAAAAAAGAATTCAAAAAGGGAGCTTTGGTTGGTTCATTAGAGGGAATTTGGTGCACAGAATACTATCAAACTTGTAAAATTTTTCAAGGTTGAGTTGAAATCATTCTGAACCCCATCAAGCCGAATATCTATGACAGGTTAAAATTTTNTATTTGCTGCACAGAATACTATCAAACTTGTAAAATTTTTCAAGGTCGAGTTGAAATCATTCTGAACCCCATCAAGCCGAATATCTATGACAGGTTAAAATTTTCAGGAATGCTGTTGTAATGAACTTGTCTATGTAGTGGACAATAATATTCACTTTACTGTTTAGAATATTCTTTACTATTATCAGATGGTACATCTATATGCGGCTCACTGACACATTCAGATTACATGGCAGATGCATCAGATGACATATCTTTAGCTGGTGATGTTGCTGTATCATGCTTGGAGAAAGCTTTTACGAACTTCCAACATCAGGATAAATATGCAAAAAAACTTGCTATGTTGATTTTTCCCTTAATTCCAGTTCTACCCAAGGTTATTTTATTTTTAGGCTGATATTTGATGTTAATCAGTAATCATTTCTTTTAGCAAAATTAAATCTTAATCACTAATAATTTTGTTGCGGAATTGCAGACTCAGAGGCTAAATTTGAAGGCTTTGGAATTGGCCAAGGAAGTGAAGTGGCCTTTCTACCAGAATCTCGTCAGTCTTTACAGCCCAGAGAAGGTGATTGATTTTTTTAAATCATTTTTGTGAAGCTACTGAGGATCAGCCCTCTAGGGTTTAGTGTCCTACTCAGTTGATGACTTGATGCATAACTTATAACATTTTTTCATGTGGAGAATCTTGGGGTCAGGATTCCATGTGTTTTCATGCAAATTTTGATACCTTGAACTTTCTTGAGTAGATTTCCTCACATTTCAGACTTGGACATGTGCCCGTGATGGGCTATAGTTCTTCGTGGTAAGTGTCATTGGCACATATGTCATAGCCCTTTGCTTTTCCCTGCCCTGCCATAGTTTAATAGATTGTTGTTTTTCATAGGAGTCCGGTTCCTTAGAGTAGAAACAACCAAAAAGCATAAGTAGAAGAGAAGAACTGTAGGTATACTGTCAAATGAATATTTGTGGCACCTGATAATTTGGTTTTTGAGTTGGGATATGGGTATAAAAATTAAATATAGATCAAGTTTTGAGCTTCAATTTTATCCAACAAAACATAGTATAGCTAGTCGGTTAGAAAATTGTCAACCCAGATTTGGTAAGATTTTCTTTGAGGCTTGTAAGTAAAATTGGAAATAGTACTATGCAAAATCTATCAATTTGGAACACTGAAAAGCTATTGAGAGCTTGAGTCTACACTTTTTCATGTGATAGTCATTTTTGCAACATCAAGTTAGATTGGAAAGTTTTGTTTGGCCAACCGGAATACAATCTTCATTCGCGACGATTTCCTACGTAGTTTGGATTTGAATGGAGAAAACGAGGTTTCGACCCTTGTAATTTGCTGATCTTGCTGCATGCTAATTGTGAAGAAAAAGCTATGTTGTCACTCCCTACTTGGGAGATGAAGTGTTCTAAAAGAGGACCTGCTGTCAAGGACTGTTACCCGTCTATTTTTTCCTCTCTTTCCTGGTACATAAAGAACCTTGGCAGAAACATTTGGGGGGTACACGTGCCACTTGCCATCAGAGAATTAAGAAAAGTTTCTTCTTGACTTACTTTGGAAGGTCTTCCTCTGGCTACATCAATAACTTTATTTCTTGCTTATATTTTCTTATGCTTCCCCATAGCCCACTTAAAAACCAAGGAATAGACAGAACAATGGCTTCAANGGTCTTCCTCTGGCTACATCAATAACTTTATTTCTTGCTTATATTTTCTTTATGCTTCCCCATAGCCCACTTAAAAACCAAGGAATAGACAGAACAATGGCTTCAATCAATATCTAAAAGCCATCACCAAAGTTCTGTCCTGCAAACCTTGGTGCTAGGAGGAGAGGGCTTGGGATATGCTTATTTAGGAAACCCTTTTTGTCCATCATTTTAGAGATGGATTATTTTAAGGAATCAATAGTTTAGTTGTCTCGTGTCGTTAGATGAAACTGAGCAGCTATGGAGGTCATGATGATGCTCTATTTATACTGACAATGACGACAAAATGAAAATGAGCTATAAAAGGGCAGTCTAATTTTTCAAACCTTATGTCATTGTGGAGTCTGGACTAGGTCAAATGTACATAACCTTAACCCTGCATGTGGAGAGATATTTTAGTGACTCGAATCAGTGATACCCAGGTGAAAAGAGTGCTATAAATTCGTACAGGTTTTGGAGAAACCTGTTTAGTTTGAATTGTCATAAGGTCGATTGAATCAGTGAGTTCGTAAGATATGTGAACTAGGTTAGGTGAAAAGCTATCGGTCAAGCGTGCTACAGATGTGGTCTTTGAAACATCACGATAGATTTAGCCTTTAGCTTAGCACGAAGAGGCTGTGCCTAGAGGTGAACCCTAGTTTTCATGCTTGAAAGCTTGTGAGTTGGCTGTTTGTCATGTTTCTAGGCCATGGCAAGACATTGGCCAAAATGTTTAAAGTGATAACTTTTTTGAATCCTTTATTAATTGAACTTCAAGCCTTATGAGAGTCAAGGATGGATCAATATCTGTAAAGGAATATANATTTTTTGAATCCTTTATTAATTGTCATTCTATTGAACTTCAAGCCTTATGAGAGTCAAGGATGGATCAATATCTGTAAAGGAATATATATCATTTGTTGAGGCAGGGATATATATATATATATATATTTTTTTTTTGTGTGTGTGTGTATTTATTGTTTTTCATATTTTCATTTTTTGTGTGTTTTCCTTTAGGTATCTAAAATTGTTGATCATGAAGAACAAATTCCCATTTCTGCTTTCATCGATTATTGTTGAATCTTTAAGCTTTAAATATTGCAGAAACTGGATCATGAGTACATCTTTTCGGTTAATATGGGCAATATCGGTGGTATGGCGAGAACATTCTCAGTGCACCCTGAGGAATATATGCCTTGGCTTCTTGAATGCTGCAGTGCTCAGGAGCTGTCTAAGACATTATTCTGCTTGATTTTGTTGCAGTCATTCATGAGTCTGAGAATTGGTAAACTTTTTGTTTTCTTCTCTTGCTTTATATTTAAGGTCACTCTGTGGACCTGTTTGTGGGATTGTGGACCCTTTTTAAGTAGTGACTTTTACTGATCTCCAAATGACCTTAAATAATGTGCAATTTACTAGTGCTTGAGGGTGGAGCAAGGATTGGATTGTGAAGGTGCCATCTTTATATTTTTGCCTGCGTTAGATATAAAAGTTCTGTTCTGTACTATTTTCATTCTACTTTGTTTGGAGATGGTACAGCTTGGTCTTTGATCATGTTTGTCGCAATACATACCCTGTTGATCTTTTATAGCACATTCTTTCCTTGACCTTAGTTTTAAGAGCTTACCTGGTCAATTGAGTTTTGTCTATATATTGGAGCTATTACCGAAGTAGGTCTAATTGAGGCAAGCTCAAGATGGTTTGTGAAATTGTGTAAGATGGACAGCGAATTACCTTCATTGTGTCCTAGGGGCTTCTTGCAAGACTAAGTGTGATTCACATGTGAGTGACTGCTTTGCGTCTATATGGATTGTCTATCTGGATTGTGTGGTATGTCTCACAACCTTGTGTCTGCCAGAATCTGCTTGTCAACTGCTAAAGGCAGTTGAAATGCATAAATGTCTGGAAACAACTTGCATGACATCTTTTGCAGTGGCATCTTTTGTGGTGTGCAGTGAAGTCAATACTTTTGCTCCTTGTCAAAAGTTGTCAAACACTGACCAAAGATGTTCGTGCAACATCTTTTTTAGTACTGAGAAAGTCGATGCATGTACTGCAGTTTCCTGAAAAAAAATATACTCCTTGGTGCAAGGGCAGTGTCCATAAAGAGATGCTGATGTAGACAAATGTCAATGTTACATGACTGCAGTTGTTTTTTAGGTTGACTAGGTGATGATGTCCCAACAAATGTTGACTAGGTGATATGTATGGTGAAAAGGTTTCTTGTTCTTTCTTTACTATTTGAAGGATTTATATGTCAGAATGCTGTAACTACTCCGGGGAAAGTTTGTACCTTGAGCAATCAATGGTCCTTTGCCTTTATTTTTTCAGTGCTTAATAGTATGCTGGGCCTTTTAACGTGTTATTCACTTTGACTGCCTCTTCATGGGTTTCATTTCTTCTTGCTCATTTATTTGCCAGACTATGACCGGTTTTCGGCATTGTATGAAACTTGCTTTCCCGTTCTCAGAGCTGAGTGGGAATTGTTAAAGTCAGTGGAGAATGTTGTATCTGCGGAGGAGGTATGCTGTTTTTCTGCACTAGCTTTCTTGTGTCATTGATACTTTTCCTGACTTTTTTTGGTATGCAATATTATGTTGATATATGATTTTCAGTCCCACACAAGAATGCTTGAAGTAGAATTCAAAGGATTCATTGGTCATCTGTTCGACACCAATTTCAAAGGAGCAAATGCTAAGATTCTAATTTACACATTTTGGATGTTACTGGAGGCGTTTATTACAACAACACCCGAGGATGTCTCTTTGGTTGGTGGCACGCCTCGTCTTACTTTATAGCTAATTTTTTCCCCTTTGTTTGTGTCCCACTTCTTTATTATCTAATAAGTAGTAGTTATTTCCTTTTTTTATTATCATTGATGAACCTGAACTTGTACTTTGTGCAGGATAATAATGCGCAGTGGGTATACACACTTCAGGATCTATTTGTCTTTTTTGCGAATCAGCCAAAGCATGTTTTCAAGAAGCATCTTCAATACCTTGTCACAAAATGCAAGATGTCTCCAGTCCAACTTCTGTCAAAGTTTATTACTGAAGAAGGTTGTGATCATGACTTCCTTTTTTGGTGTATGTTTGGTTGTTGTTTGTGTTGTTTCTTTTCATGTTTTTGTGCTTGTAATTGTTTATAATACTGTGTGATGCATTTGTTTCGCTTGATATGAGGATGCGATATTATATTTTAGCTTCTGATGTGCTTTGGGAGTTCTTTATAAAGGTTCAAATATGGGGTGCCGAGGAGATATATCTATATATTTGCATATATATTATCAATTTATATATGTTGCCCATTTGAAGAAATAGGCTGTCCTTGGGTTACATTAATTAAATATTATGATTTATGACAGTGTGATACACATTGATTTTGTTAAACTTGCTGACACTACTTTTGACATGTGAATTTTGGAGAAGGGCAATTTAAAAATAAAAATTTAATTGACTTATTTCAACATGATGGATCTTTATCTGAATGCTTTTTATTGATCAAATGAATACAACTCAAATCCATGGCCCAATCGTTGTTACAGTCCTAATGCTGGAATGGTAATTTCCCTTGGAGTTATATCAAGGACTATGAATATCTGATCTGGTCTATNGAATACAACTCAAATCCATGGCCCAATCGTGGTTACAGTCCTAATGCTGAATGGTAATTTCCCTTGGAGTTATATCAAGGACTATGAATATCTGATCTGGTCTATATGTTTCCATCATTTCGACCATATGCGACCTTTCTTTAGAAGATGTTTGGAAACACTTTTTCCCAATACCCCTTAGATTTCACTTTGCTTGTTAGTTTAGTATACTCACTTTTGTCATTTGTGGGGTTTTCAAATTTGCAGGTGTTTGTGTTACTGTCCAAGTGGAGAGTCTTCATTCTTTTGGCTTTATTTGTTCTCAGTCAGACGAGAGTGTACATTTTCAGTTACTTTCTGAATTTCCTTCAGTCCTTGTCCCACTGTCCAGTGATAACCAGGTTTGAAAACCTTTTTCTGACTCTATCTGTTGTCTTTGTAGCCTTATGGAGAAAAACGAAAAGGCAAGAATGCTATATTGTGTATCTATGCCTTTTCGGTAGTGCTTTTAATCTGCTTTCATTACATTGTCAACATGTTTACCTTCACTTTCAGGATGTACGTATGGCTGCCATGAACTGCATTGAAGAACTGTCTGCATTGTGTTCCCGTGCTAATCAATCCAGATGTAAAAATGGTATTATTCTCTGGGAGAGTTATTTTTTCAATGTGTAATTGCAGTATTGCCTGATTTGTTTTAAATATAGGGTTTTTTCTAATCCAGAAAACTTACAGGAGACAATGCAGTCTGGAGCCATTTTCTCGGGGAACTCTTGGTCTTGATGGTTCAGCAAAAGAGGCTGATATTATCTGACAAAAATGTTCTCGCCTCATTTTTTACGTCTTTGCTCAGCTCCTCAAGCTGCAGTCTTTTAGTGCAGCAGAATATTGGACAGAGGTGTTCATCTTGGGTTCTTATTTGTTTTCATCGCTTTGACATAATGGATGCTATTATCTCCTCAATTGACCTCGCCATTTTTTCATTTCATTTCCAACTTTAAAATCTGAAGCACAAGATGTAATCACCATGCTTAACAACAGTTGTTTCCCTTTCTTCTTTGAAGTGTATGCATTTGCTATGTGTGTGTGTATATATGGCTGCAAATGTGTACGGTTGCATTTTAGGGGGTGGTTCTATTCATTGAATTTTTCTTCAAGATTAGATATTTTTTTTTTTATGGGAGGTGAGGTGTGAGAAAAATGGTGTCCTCTGTGCATGCTGTATAAAAAATGCATATTTTGTTGACGTATTCTAGAATTCCTACGTGGCAATTTTTGGTCCACACAAACTCAGTCGAGTGATCTTTAAACACTGGTGGGACCATTCTTGTAACCTGTGTGTGGATGTTTTTGTGTAATGCTGTTTATGGCATAGCCATTACATGGATGAACAAGTTTGGTAGGCTTTAGAAGCCTAGATGAAGGCTGATATTTTTTGGTCTAAAGGGAGGTATACTTGGTAGGTTTATTAGGTTTTTTTATTAGTATTTGATTAGGAATAGAAAAGCAATTCAGGTTTTGGTAGGAGACTAGACTATAAATATTGATGTAACCCTAAAATTTATATTAGAGTGATTTTTTTTGAGAACTTGTTTGACTATTGTATGTGTTTACCTAATCATTTGATGGTTTGAAAAATCCCTTGGAGGAATTTTATTTTCTTCTCCCCCTTCCCTGTTCTACATCAGCTGCCGTTTATTGTGCACAAATGTGTCCATGTCTTCCACTTGATACGGCAGCTAATGTGGTTGCATTTCGTGAATGACAACAGGAAGGGATGGGGATTCCTCACCTTTACTACTTTGAACTCATTGTTCTGAATATCATTTCAATCCATCATTAAAGCTGAATTTGATCACTTGAGTTTCTATTATTTTTGCCCGAGCAACTACCACAAGAAGTCCCTTTATGGAAGAGATAGGTGAATATCTAATAGAAGAGTGCAGATTTTTCATTTTGCTGGACTTGAATACTTTGCTTCTAATACTTTGCATTCAAAACTATGATTTACAGTGGCAATGATAAAAAAGGACTAGATATAAAATTTCAATAAGCTCTGGTCCTTAGCTCATGTAAGATCTTTTTTTTTTTGAACGACTTTGGAGTACTCTTCTTTTATTAAAGGAGGTATTGCCATATCGGGTGGGGTCTCTCAGATTTCTGGTTCTTTTGTCCTCTATAACTACATGCTCTGTTTCTCAGAAAAAGTAATGGTATAAATGCATTTACATTTGAACATATACATCAAGAAAAACAAAGCCTTTGATGCTGTAATTCCTGATAGTGTTAATTTCTCAAATGTTTATTGTTTCTGTAAATTTTAAGGATGTACTGTCTTGATCTTGTAGATCCTTCGTATATCTCACAAGACATGGACCTGCCTGTTGCTGTTAAGATTTGATAGTAGGTGTAGTTTGTCGACAAACGTTTAACTCATGAAATGGAGACTACTTTCTTCATATGTATCTAGATCACTGCAGCAATTAATGATTACGCTAATTCAATACTTGGTTAATCACATAAAATAACAGTTTGATTTGTTCTTTTAGAAATTCCATTTTGTAGTGTGAATGTGCCAGATGGTTCCACAGGATTTTATGTGATAGATTGTGACAGATTAAGGAATTACTGATTGTACTCAATCACAGATCTCTATGTTAGTTTTCATAAGTTATTAGGCTGTCTTTTAAGACCTTTCAATTGTTTTATTTTGTCCTTATGATGAAAATGGCTTTTACTGACATTTTGTTTATTTTTGTTTAGTAATTTACGTGTTTCTATGAGTTCATGTGCATTGTTGTTGTAGTTTTTCTGGATGTTTGATTTCTTAATGACTTCAGTATTTAAAGTTACTGTTCTTACCATTAGTTGTACTCCAGAAGTAGTTTTTTTTTTGGACGAATATTCCAGAAGTAGTTACCATAACTAATTTATGTATATAATTCAACTGAACAATGCTTTTTTGGCCTGCTTTTTAAGATTTGATCAGTCTACAAAAGATGACATACTGGCTTTCATATTGAGCTCTGCTCTAGGACTTTCTGCTCATGCAAAGGTTAGTCCATGTGTGAGTTAGTTCTTTCATCTGCTAGTTCCATCTGAAGTGATGCATGCTTGTATAAATGGTACTTCTGTATGGAGAGATTATGCGGTAGAAGTAACGAAAATTTCATTGGCAGCTAATGATTCTATCTTTGCTCAAAGGAGTAGGAAGTAAAGTTATGTGTATTAANTTGTATAAATGGTACTTCTGTATGGAGAGATTATGCGGTAGAAGTAACGAAAATTTCATTCGCAGCTAATGATTCTATCTTTGCTCAAAGGAGTAGGAAGTAAAGTTATGTGTATTAAAGGCATTGAATCTTTGTTGTATGAGCTTTTGATGAGGCGCCATCAATATCATCTTGGGTATGATAAATCGTGCCATAAATTGTCAAAAGTTGAAGTTGAAATTCTTTGCCTTCTACTGGAGGTAAGATAAAGGTGTTCTATTAGAACTTCGCTTTTGATGTTTCTTCTGTCATACTAACAAAAATTTGACCCGAATTATATTTATCTGTTTGCTAGTGCTGTACTATGCCTACTACATCATATGGTGATCATGTTTATGACGATCACATATTGAAGGCGTTGCAGGTAATTAGTTTTTTGCAACCTGTATTATTTGGTTGCAATTTTACTTTTAAGAATGTGATGCTTTCGATTACTATGTTGTAATTTCTTCTTTTGCCTTGTCTGCACTTCCAGTTAGATGGTTTGTCCTCGGAAGACCATGCCATTATACAGCCTTGTGTTACTGTTTTGAAGAATCTCAGCAGTTCCTTTTACGGAGGTTTGAAGACAGAGACTCAGGTTATCTCAATTTAGTCACTGAGGTTTGCCTCAAATGTATTATTTTAGAAATTCACATTAGCACCTTGAATTGTTGTTGATGGCGGATTTAAAGAGCATTTGTTTATACATTATATTGTCCACAAATGAACCCAATACATCGATTCACATTGCTAAACTCCAAAATAAATTAAATGTCCATGGACATCTTGTTCTGCTAATTTAGGTGTTGTATTCAGGGCTATTAATAAATATATTTCAACAGGCGTGCTATATATCTTGAATATATCATCATTCAAGAGATCTATCTCTGTATTTTGGTTATTCTTAATTTTGGTGACACTTGAGTCTCCGTAAAATATTGGGAATTTGTCTGGTTTTATTGCAAAAATATAAACAAGGTATCATATAGTAGATATTACCTGCATGTTATTTTATCCCGTGTTTCTTGGATTTTACTCTGTTCTTTGGGTGAGTAGGTGTTATATAGCTTCTTTTCAGTTTTTCAATAGTCAACTTGAGAATGCGTAGTTGCTTTTATTTGTTGATGTACAAGATGGCTTTGGACAATCCCTCTTCTCCTCAAAAAAAAAAAAAAANCATTTTCTCGGGGAACTCTTGGTCTTGATGGTTCAGCAAAAGAGGCTGATATTATCTGACAAAAATGTTCTCGCCTCATTTTTTACGTCTTTGCTCAGCTCCTCAAGCTGCAGTCTTTTAGTGCAGCAGAATATTGGACAGAGGTGTTCATCTTGGGTTCTTATTTGTTTTCATCGCTTTGACATAATGGATGCTATTATCTCCTCAATTGACCTCGCCATTTTTTCATTTCATTTCCAACTTTAAAATCTGAAGCACAAGATGTAATCACCATGCTTAACAACAGTTGTTTCCCTTTCTTCTTTGAAGTGTATGCATTTGCTATGTGTGTGTGTATATATGGCTGCAAATGTGTACGGTTGCATTTTAGGGGGTGGTTCTATTCATTGAATTTTTCTTCAAGATTAGATATTTTTTTTTTATGGGAGGTGAGGTGTGAGAAAAATGGTGTCCTCTGTGCATGCTGTATAAAAAATGCATATTTTGTTGACATATTCTAGAATTCCTACGTGGCAATTTTTGGTCCACACAAACTCAGTCGAGTGATCTTTAAACACTGGTGGGACCATTCTTGTAACCTCTGTGTGGATGTTTTTGTGTAATGCTGTTTATGGCATAGCCATTACATGGATGAACAAGTTTGGTAGGCTTTAGAAGCCTAGATGAAGGCTGATATTTTTTGGTCTAAAGGGAGGTATACTTGGTAGGTTTATTAGGTTTTTTTATTAGTATTTGATTAGGAATAGAAAAGCAATTCAGGTTTTGGTAGGAGACTAGACTATAAATATTGATGTAACCCTAAAATTTATATTAGAGTGATTTTTTTTGAGAACTTGTTTGACTATTGTATGTGTTTACCTAATCATTTGATGGTTTGAAAAATCCCTTGGAGGAATTTTATTTTCTTCTCCCCCTTCCCTGTTCTACATCAGCTGCCGTTTATTGTGCACAAATGTGTCCATGTCTTCCACTTGATACGGCAGCTAATGTGGTTGCATTTCGTGAATGACAACAGGAAGGGATGGGGATTCCTCACCTTTACTACTTTGAACTCATTGTTCTGAATATCATTTCAATCCATCATTAAAGCTGAATTTGATCACTTGAGTTTCTATTATTTTTGCCCGAGCAACTACCACAAGAAGTCCCTTTATGGAAGAGATAGGTGAATATCTAATAGAAGAGTGCAGATTTTTCATTTTGCTGGACTTGAATACTTTGCTTCTAATACTTTGCATTCAAAACTATGATTTACAGTGGCAATGATAAAAAAGGACTAGATATAAAATTTCAATAAGCTCTGGTCCTTAGCTCATGTAAGATCTTTTTTTTTTTGAACGACTTTGGAGTACTCTTCTTTTATTAAAGGAGGTATTACCATATCGGGTGGGGTCTCTCAGATTTCTGGTTCTTTTGTCCTCTATAACTACATGCTCTGTTTCTCAGAAAAAGTAATGGCATAAATGCATTTACATTTGAACATATACATCAAGAAAAACAAAGCCTTTGATGCTGTNCCCTGTTCTACATCAGCTGCCGTTTATTGTGCACAAATGTGTCCATGTCTTCCACTTGATACGGCAGCTAATGTGGTTGCATTTCGTGAATGACAACAGGAAGGGATGGGGATTCCTCACCTTTACTACTTTGAACTCATTGTTCTGAATATCATTTCAATCCATCATTAAAGCTGAATTTGATCACTTGAGTTTCTATTATTTTTGCCCGAGCAACTACCACAAGAAGTCCCTTTATGGAAGAGATAGGTGAATATCTAATAGAAGAGTGCAGATTTTTCATTTTGCTGGACTTGAATACTTTGCTTCTAATACTTTGCATTCAAAACTATGATTTACAGTGGCAATGATAAAAAAGGACTAGATATAAAATTTCAATAAGCTCTGGTCCTTAGCTCATGTAAGATCTTTTTTTTTTTGAACGACTTTGGAGTACTCTTCTTTTATTAAAGGAGGTATTGCCATATCGGGTGGGGTCTCTCAGATTTCTGGTTCTTTTGTCCTCTATAACTACATGCTCTGTTTCTCAGAAAAAGTAATGGTATAAATGCATTTACATTTGAACATATACATCAAGAAAAACAAAGCCTTTGATGCTGTAATTCCTGATAGTGTTAATTTCTCAAATGTTTATTGTTTCTGTAAATTTTAAGGATGTACTGTCTTGATCTTGTAGATCCTTCGTATATCTCACAAGACATGGACCTGCCTGTTGCTGTTAAGATTTGATAGTAGGTGTAGTTTGTCGACAAACGTTTAACTCATGAAATGGAGACTACTTTCTTCATATGTATCTAGATCACTGCAGCAATTAATGATTACGCTAATTCAATACTTGGTTAATCACATAAAATAACAGTTTGATTTGTTCTTTTAGAAATTCCATTTTGTAGTGTGAATGTGCCAGATGGTTCCACAGGATTTTATGTGATAGATTGTGACAGATTAAGGAATTACTGATTGTACTCAATCACAGATCTCTATGTTAGTTTTCATAAGTTATTAGGCTGTCTTTTAAGACCTTTCAATTGTTTTATTTTGTCCTTATGATGAAAATGGCTTTTACTGACATTTTGTTTATTTTTGTTTAGTAATTTACGTGTTTCTATGAGTTCATGTGCATTGTTGTTGTAGTTTTTCTGGATGTTTGATTTCTTAATGACTTCAGTATTTAAAGTTACTGTTCTTACCATTAGTTGTACTCCAGAAGTAGTTTTTTTTTTGGACGAATATTCCAGAAGTAGTTACCATAACTAATTTATGTATATAATTCAACTGAACAATGCTTTTTTGGCCTGCTTTTTAAGATTTGATCAGTCTACAAAAGATGACATACTGGCTTTCATATTGAGCTCTGCTCTAGGACTTTCTGCTCATGCAAAGGTTAGTCCATGTGTGAGTTAGTTCTTTCATCTGCTAGTTCCATCTGAAGTGATGCATGCTTTTGTATAAATGGTACTTCTGTATGGAGAGATTATGCGGTAGAAGTAACGAAAATTTCATTCGCAGCTAATGATTCTATCTTTGCTCAAAGGAGTAGGAAGTAAAGTTATGTGTATTAAAGGCATTGAATCTTTGTTGTATGAGCTTTTGATGAGGCGCCATCAATATCATCTTGGGTATGATAAATCGTGCCATAAATTGTCAAAAGTTGAAGTTGAAATTCTTTGCCTTCTACTGGAGGTAAGATAAAGGTGTTCTATTAGAACTTCGCTTTTGATGTTTCTTCTGTCATACTAACAAAAATTTGACCCGAATTATATTTATCTGTTTGCTAGTGCTGTACTATGCCTACTACATCATATGGTGATCATGTTTATGACGATCACATATTGAAGGCGTTGCAGGTAATTAGTTTTTTGCAACCTGTATTATTTGGTTGCAATTTTACTTTTAAGAATGTGATGCTTTCGATTACTATGTTGTAATTTCTTCTTTTGCCTTGTCTGCACTTCCAGTTAGATGGTTTGTCCTCGGAAGACCATGCCATTATACAGCCTTGTGTTACTGTTTTGAAGAATCTCAGCAGTTCCTTTTACGGAGGTTTGAAGACAGAGACTCAGGTTATCTCAATTTAGTCACTGAGGTTTGCCTCAAATGTATTATTTTAGAAATTCACATTAGCACCTTGAATTGTTGTTGATGGCGGATTTAAAGAGCATTTGTTTATACATTATATTGTCCACAAATGAACCCAATACATCGATTCACATTGCTAAACTCCAAAATAAATTAAATGTCCATGGACATCTTGTTCTGCTAATTTAGGTGTTGTATTCAGGGCTATTAATAAATATATTTCAACAGGCGTGCTATATATCTTGAATATATCATCATTCAAGAGATCTATCTCTGTATTTTGGTTATTCTTAATTTTGGTGACACTTGAGTCTCCGTAAAATATTGGGAATTTGTCTGGTTTTATTGCAAAAATATAAACAAGGTATCATATAGTAGATATTACCTGCATGTTATTTTATCCCGTGTTTCTTGGATTTTACTCTGTTCTTTGGGTGAGTAGGTGTTATATAGCTTCTTTTCAGTTTTTCAATAGTCAACTTGAGAATGCGTAGTTGCTTTTATTTGTTGATGTACAAGATGGCTTTGGACAATCCCTCTTCTCCTCAAAAAAAAAAAAAAATCCCCTAATGAGGAAGAGAGAAAGAACCTACAGAAAGAAAAGAAATTTCCAACCCAACAAAACATATGCACACAGGCAAAAGCAAACAAAAAGAGAAGTAAGAAAAAAGAGAATTTAAAAAGAAAAACATCAGGGAGAACAATTATTTTTTCAGCTGGAGTTGCTGATTCCTCTGTTTCTTAGTTTCCCGTTGATTCTTTTAATGATTTGGAGTTTGTTTAATTGCATTTAGATATATTTTTGCAATCAGTTTTTATGTAGTTGCATTTATATTTGATACAAAATATGATCGCTTATTGGCTTATTGATGTTCAGATACAGTAACTATCATGTACATGATGCAATTGCTATATTTGTTGAAATAGTAGTGTATCTTTTTCTTTTGAACCCCTATTGTATATTTATATTTTATAAATTTCAGTGACATTGCTTCATGTTTTGGATAATTGCACATTGTTTCCTCATTGTTCCTAAAATTACTTTTCGCTCCTTATTGTTTGAGTTCCTATTACAATACATTTTGTTTAAAATACACAAAAAAAATTAGAAATTTGAAAATAGCAGTATTCATGTTACATGTCACTAATATTGTAACAAAATAAAACAAATACCTGCCTCTGGTATTTGAACCACCACCATCTCCACCAACACTAGTCAACCTCTCTTGCTCTCATTGACCCATACTGTGATATCCCAATGTGACCCTCTCCCTCAGCTCACGCCTCACCGGATTACTACCCTTGAAAACATACCACCACCATGCTCAATTTGTCACGCCAC